TTTCCAAGAGTAATGAGACCAAGCAGGTATCTTTTCTTCATAAGGCTCGACAGCTTCATTTCTTGAACGCTTTGGTCTGCTCAGTGATTTCCTTGCAACTACTTCTGTCCTGTGTGCGAGTTGTCCGGTTATGATTTACGTACTTTCTTTATTCCTTAGAACTCACTTTGGTCATCTCCAGTTGAACTGTCAGGCTATCCCTTGTTGAGCTTTTTTAGTAAATTGTTTTTACAGTGCAAGGGAGCTGCGACTAACCATCGCTGCCTTGGAGGACCTAGGATTTTCTGTCGGGGTTTACTCCCTTAGCCACTGGGTTCCAATTAAAGCGCTGGAAAATCGCTTTCCGCCCTTCCATACAGAGTATGAATAGACTTAGCTGGAATAACTGACACTACCCAGTTTTAGCGGCGTGCAGTCCCTGTCCGACTGCATATCCTGGGATCACATACTGCTCCTTTAGCCCCCAAGAAGGCCGCGCCATATCTCAAGCGGTTAATCACTGGTTTCCCATCGCGGCGGCCCGGGTTCGATCTCGGGTCTGGTCAAGTGGGATTTGTGGTGGACAAAGTGGCGCTGCGGCTGGTTTTCTCCGAGTACTTCGGTTTCCCCTGCCAATCTTCATTCCATCAATTGCTCCAAAATCACCCTCACCTATCATCTGGGGCTGGTACAATAGGCCAGAAGTGGCCGCATTACAAGGGACTTAGTCCCACCCCACTAGAAGTAAAAAATAAAAAAATAAAAGCCCCCAAGAAGGAATCCAGTGCAGAGTATAACAATGCTTGAAGCTACACCTTCACTCCTACACACGTCTTCTTCCTATGGTGTTTATGTAGGTGTAGGGCTTCTTGATATTTTAAATTCATAATAACGGTAGGTCAGAACTGAATTCGGAAAATTAACGCTCAGTTAAAGGAGGCAAGAATAAAGCAGCCCCAAACCATGAAAACGTATGTGGGACTGGAGGTGTAGCTCTGCTCATCTTTATCCTGGCACTAAAGCTTCATCTCCGGGAGAAAAGCCTCCCGGTTCTTATTGGATAGGAGGCTGCGTATCCCCGCCCCGCACCGATGTTGACACTGTGAAGAAGAGGAAAATCTCTTCCATTGTCGGGAATAGAAACCCGATTCATCGGTCGTCGAGCCGTAGCCTATTTACTATACTGAGTTACCCTGGAAGACTAGAAGGAGAGTGGATGTCATTATATATTTAAGATTATCTCGAATAAAATTTAGGCTACTTAATGTTATATTAACTCGTAATCTTTCGCTTTTTCTTTTTAATTCCAACCACGTTTTTATTTCTGTGCTGAAAATTTTCATACACATAGTGATATGGAGCACTGTTTAGAAGTCCCAGTAGAAAGCAAATTCTAACGTTCGCTAAGCGAATGACGTGTTCGAACAGCTGATGCCAAACCATTCCTCTTAGCGACGTACCTATGCAGCTAAATGGAGGCTTAACAGCCGTCCAGGCTAATTTTCTTCTGCAAGTGTCAGTAAAGTACACTTGGTCGTCGACTTATAGACCGACTTCCGTTCTGACTGACAGGTCGTAAGTCGATCTGGTTCTATGTCGGCCATATATTTATTAACAATATTTTTTAACATTTCTAATCTTTTTATCATCTTTATAATTTATTTTTAAAAACTTTTACATTTTAATCATCTTTTTTTTTTTGTGGTCGTAAGTGCGGCCGGTCGTAAGTCGACGATAAAGTGTACCAGCAAGTTATGCTAATGAGGGACAGTCTGTGGGGCCACACCCCTCCCACCAGTAGTGGATTCAGATTAGCATATGTTACTTCCACTCGAGGAATTGGCAAGCGCACACATTCATTGATTTTCATTGTAGTAAATTTTCACACAAGTAGACCTGTTTAAACACTTATCTCTGATAACGTAAAACAAGAATCGACAATTCAGTCCGAAATTACCAGCTGTTGTACATTTCGTTACCAGTTGTTTCCAGTAAGAAGCTTCCCCACGCGTGTAGGGACTACCAGTAATGCAAGGTCCCAGAGTATTCAAACCCAATCTCACTCCGACACCCACGGTCTGCTTTTCAAACGCTGAGGACTTTTGAAATTTGTCAAAACCTTGAAAGACAGTTCATAGACAGTCTGTAGTTTGAACTTCTACACCAGATACTCAGTGCTTATACTAAATACTCGTATATTGCATAAAGTCAGAATAGTCGCTCTCCGGGCCAAGATTGACCATTTGCTAGGCAACGACCACGAAATAAATAACTATAAAACAGCCATTACTAAGTAACGGCTTCGAAAACAAGCATGTTTCCATGACAACAAGAGAACACAACAATAACAGAAGAGACGATTTATACGCGGTCCGTGCCGATATGTTTAAGCAGGATCATTTCGCAATAATGCAGTCGCTTTATGAGCTCAGCAAACAGCTGCAAGACTTACATGTACTCGGACATTTTGCTGTGCTTTCGGAAACACATATCAAACCCCATGAGAAATTCTTCATCCCAAATTATGGCGTTTATCGGACTGATCTGTTCCTGGGAAGAAAAGGCATTCCCCATAACCGTGTAAACCTATGCTATATACGATGGTGTACCCAAAAGAAACCGAACTAATTTTTTTGTGGGCAGAGCTTTTGTAGTACCGCGTTTTGCCGCTATGAGCGCATAGAGCTAACATTCCTGAGTCGATAAGCCGACTACCGTTGCTTCAGAAGGTAAGGACTAGTTTCGGCAGAGTTTATAGTGACAACTCTTTTGTGTGATCGTCGTTTTTGCAATGGCCCGAACACATGAAAATGTTGAAAAAATTCGTGAAATCATCAAGGAAGATCGACGACGGACCATTGAAGAAATTGTGGAGCTGTCGGGAGTGACTTGGAGCTCAGTTCAGCGAATTTTGACAGAAGATTTGGGAATGAAAAGGGTGGCTGCGAAATTCGTGCCACGACTGCTGACTGCTGAACAAAAACAAGGTCGCGTGGAAGCATGCTGTGCTTTGAAAGAAGAGTCCCGAAATGATCAAAACTTTTTTTCAACGTTTTGCTGATGTTGCTGAGGTGAAGGAAAAAAACGACGGAGGCGCTGTCAAGCATCTCAAAAGATGAATTTAGACAATGTTTTGAAAAATTGAATAAAAGACTAGACAAGTGTATTAGTGTAAGTGGAGAGTACTTTGAAGGGGATTGAAGGTTTGTGCTTAAAATTTGAATAAATAAGTTTAAAAAAAATAAGTTCGGTTTCTTTTGGGTACCCCCTCGTATGCGATGCGTACACTTAACAAAGGTGAAGCCTCCTCATAAGAGACAAACCCTTCCTGTCGTCAGAGAGGATGTAACATAAGGACTATGACCGCAAGGGTCCAATTGCAAAAAATCTCTGATCGTGATCCTCAAGGGGCTTGGCGCCAAGATGAACTGACAGGCGATAAACTGCCAGTCGTGAAGTAACTCTGACTCTGGTACTGCATCGTTAAATGATCTTAAATAAATAATTAAAATTAAGTAAATTTTACGGGAGGTGTGACACACACATTGCGGGACGGGATGTTCAGTGGAATTGCAGCCACTTCACGACTGTAGACCAATATGCTCTATTTCAGAAGGAAATGAAAAAAGGCACATCCGTACTTATCGTTAGAATTCCGTCGCCTTTCTCTTGTTGTGTGTGTGTCGATAGATTCTTGGCCAGACCTACACTGAGGTGAGCCAATGTACGCTACATTAACGCTAACTCGAATCCCACATTCACTTTGATATCCAGTGGCCACAAGTCTTTTGAATGCCACTGAGTGCACAAATGCCAAGCCTGTATAAGATGCCTGAGAACATACCTTATTCGTCAGATCAACACTGAATTTGTCTGAGGACAATTTTCGAAATGGGCAGGGATTTCATTTGCTCACCAACTGCAACCAGAACTACCCTGGTACTCAAGCAACATTATTCCCATTCGATACTGAGGCCATAGCGGCCAGAGGATGAATTTAACTCTCCATCTAGTGCTGAGGTTAACCCCCCCCCCCAGTTCATACTCTTAGAAGCTTAGAACGACTCGCGTAGTTCAGATACCCCAGTGATGTTTTCTGTGTGTTTCATTATGCGTTGATAATTCAAATGAAAGTAAGTAGAGCCAAGGAAACCACTCCTTGTGATTCTAAAGTTGTCTCTGTGCTTAATTAAACACCGGTAGCGTAGTTGGTTGAGGTCGAAAAGTCGCGGGATTGAATCCCGATGAGGTCATTGGATTTTTTTCAATTTACTTAATCCTTCCAGCCGCACTATGGCCCTCGGGTCGACTCAGCCTCTAACAGAAATGAGTACCAGGAATATTCTTGGAATGTTCTTGTGGTTAAAGGGCGGCCGGCGCGTAAAACTGACAACTTTACCGCCATCTATGAGACGATTGTCTAGAAAATATGGGAACCTCAACATCTCACAACCCTATCGGCCTCCACGGCCTGTTACAGGGATACCTTTACTTTGTGGGGCACGCGGTAACGTAGTTGGTTCAGACACTATGCTACAAGCCGGAAGGTCAGGGGTTCAAGTCCCGATGAAGTCATTGGATTTTTTTTAATTGACCAAAGTCTTCCAGCCGCACTATGGTCCTTCAAATGATAAAACTTAAATAGTCACATTAGACGGTGTTATTTTTGTCTTTGTAATTCTAATTCATTAAATGAGGTACTTTACACAATATGTGTCATCTGTTTGTGTGCTGATGATAAGTTTATTCAACTTAATTATTCAAGCTTTCTACCTCACTGTAGGTGGACACGGATAGTAATGTACTGATAGGTCTACCGCTGGCCCTTGAGTGGGCATAACATGTGACAACCAAAAGCAGAGTCTGTGCTACGTAGCACTCATAGAAAACAAATTATTTTATTCAAATTTTAATTATTTATTTTTAAATGAGTGTCGTTTTTCAGGATGCCATTAAAAATAATCTGACAGCACAACAGTTAGGATGTTTACCCCATGATAAGTACGAGTATTTTATTGCAGGAAGCTGCTGGTTGGATACCCCGTACTCTACAGCTCATCACCTAAGGCAGCTAAAAGAGGCTGGCAGTGCACCTGAGGATGGCCAGGATGAAGCTGATATTAGTGCCAGGTCTTTCAGGTGAGGCTTACTACAATATGATAAGAAATACATTGTGATATAATATCGGCTATGAAGAGAGTCCTTGGCAAGGACCCTGAGAGCTATACCAGCGGTAGCGTAGCTACTGGCAGGGCCTCCCTTGCTGGACAGGTCAAAGGGTAGGCATCAGACGAAGAGAGACACCAAAAACTGATGCCGGAAGCAGCGTCATCAGCAGCGACTTGAAGCACAGAGCAAATGATGCTCGAGATGGTTCAAGTTCGTATAGCAACAGGCGTGACCAGAGTGGTTTGAACGGCTGCTGTACTGCGATGTGGAAAGCAAATGGAAAAACTACCACATTATCACTTTTCCTGGATAGTCTCTTTCCAAAAACAGAAGATCGCATTAAGTGGAGGAACTGTTTTGGAAGAGACTGTGGACCTGTCGTCTGATAGATTACTGATGAATGAATGAATGAAGAGAGTATAGGGGGCACGCGGTAGCGTAGTTGGTTGAGGCCATTAGATTTTTTTTTCAACTGACCTAATCCTTCCAGCCGCACTATGGCCCTGGGGTCGACTCAGCCTCTAACAGAAATGAGTGCCAGGAATCTTCTTGGAATATTCTTGGGGGTAAAGGGCGGCCGGCGCTTAAGGCTGACAACCTTACCGCCATCTATGAGCCGATTTTCTAGAAAAAGTGGGAACTCGTCATCTCACAACCCTATGGGCCTCCATGACCTGTTACAGGGATAATTTTACTTTTCTTTATGAAAAGAGTATAAGGAAGTTTCATCCTGCCTCATAACTTTATGAAAAGAGTATAAGGAAGTTTCATCCTGCCTCATAACTTTCATAGTTGTGAAATTTTTAAGATAAAAGAAGAAGCCGTTTGGAGAGGAGGCTTTGGAAGTAACGACTGTTAATGTTTGCCGGAGGGAGAGAAGGTTTCTGAGTCGTGGTACTGAAAAGCGAAAAATGTAGAAGGCCATATATAAAGGAGTTTCACCCTACAGGATTGTTTGGAATTTTATTCTTTTTAGAAAAGGAGTTTCTGGTTTGTACAGATTGAACTTCAGAGTTCAGAATAAATTGAAGTCTTTATTTTTGGGATTTTGTTCCATCGGGATACAGTTTCTGCTTCAACGTGGGAACATCACAAGAAATGCAATTTTTAATGCTAGAGTGACATCACGGAACCTTCAGAGAGGTTTGGAGAGATCAGCTAAGGGCAGCTGGTGGCATCTTGAATATTCACGTAACTACTTCAGGATATGGTCGAAATATATACATGAGATTTGAGTCCAAAGACTGCCGAAAGCACAGACTAGTTTTTCAAGTGTAAGTTTGTCACAGTTTATACAAGTATATAGAAAGTCTGTGAATTCAAATAAATTCATGAAAAATGACCGCTTGTTTAGAAATTAACCATGAAGTAATATGGTTTCTGCCGGTCACGGTAGCCGCGCAGTCTAACACACGAACTGTCTTCGCTCGCTCGGACGCTGGGATCGTGGGTTCGAATCCCACTTAAGGGGTGCATGTTTGGTGTGTGTATGCGTTTATTCTGTGTTTGTGTTGTTCTGTGTGTAGGTAGTGGCCTTGCGACTGGCTGATCACTCGTCCAAAGAGTCCTACCTTCTGTGAAAAATGATTATGGAACTGAATAAGAGGCTAGGGCCCTGAATGGGCCGAAGAACCACTGAAAAAAAGATGTGGTTTCTAAGGATCCATATAAACTTTAAAGCATACACAGTGTGTCCAGGTTCTGTTAGGACTGTGTGCATTAAAAATATAATACGTGAGTTCTTTTCAAAATTTCACTCTTTTTATTCAGAATAGTCACCTTCTGAATCAGCGACCTCCGTAGTCTAGAGCGTCTAGAGGTAACGTTCCCACTTCATGACTCGTGGTACGCGGGTTCAAACCCGGCGGAGGTCGTGGAATTTTTAAGGGCGGAAAAATTAAGGGAACAAGTCCTCCGGGAGGGACTTTAAGCCGTGGGTCCCGTGTCGTAGCTTTACGGCACGTAAAAGAACCTCATATCTCCAAAGGAGGTTACTGAGCCGAATTCAAGGACATTTCCCGCCCAACAGTAGTCTCTAACGCCTCTGATAGATGGGGGAAGCATAGATACCGCTAAGCCAGTAGAGGCCGAACTCGCTGGCTCGGTCGGGACTGATGTGACGCACCAATATCGGTAGGGTATAGAGACTGGTAGAATATCATAGAGGGAAGCACAATGGACCAATACAGGTCTAAGTGCATGGGGAAACCCACCCTCTCCAATAACTAACTAACTAACTCCTTCTGAATCAATACATAGCTGGAATCGATTGAAAAGTTTTCGAAAACAGTCACTGTACTCCTTTTGTGGAATAGCATTTAAAACTGCGGTGCATTCCCATTGGATGCCCTGGATGGTGTCGTGACGGTCTCCTTTCATCGCCAACTTAACTTTTTGGAACAACCAGAAATCTGCTGGAGCAAAATCTGTCGAACACGGAGGATGATCAAAGACTGTGATCCATTTTCTGGCCAAAAAATCGCGCAAGATCTTCGATTTGTGGGGTGGGGCATTGTCGTGAAAGAGCGACCAGGAACCTTGCTCTCTATATTCAGGNGGTCGAATTCGAAGAATTCTCTCCCACAAATGATTGAGGACTCCGAGATAATAATCAGAATTCACTGTTTGACCTTCTGACAGAAATTCCTTGTGAATGATTCCTTTGCAATCGAAGAAAACAGTTGGCCGTGTCTTTACTCGACTCTTTTGCATGCGAACTTTCTTTGGTTTCGGCTACTTTGGGCTCAACCACACTGCACTCTGTCGCTTTGTGAGAGGCTCATATTGGAAACATCACGTCTTGTCACCAGTAACAATCGATTTTGTAAATTTTATATCACTTTGGACCGACCGTAACATGTCTTTGCAGTGTTCCACTCTGGCATGTTTTTCATCGCCTGACAGCGCGTGCGGTACTTTAACCGTTCTCCTATGAGGCTTCTTGCCCACAAGTTGGTTGCCACATTTTTTTACCGTCCGTCTTGTTCGCCTACACGTTCGGCGTCACTTTTGACTGCCCTACCTGGTGCTGCCGCTGCTGAAGTTGTTAGGTCGTGGCTGGTTCCGGCTTGACCAGGCTCCACCGCTTCCTCCTTCCGTTGCTGATTACGGGGGTTGTAATTTCAGGATGGGACCTGATGTAATGGGCGCCAGCAAACAGCTATGTGCGGTTTGCGATTCATTATAACGGAGGGAAGGCGTGTCTCTTTCTCTGATTGTATTTTGTTGTTTGTTGTGATTATTTAGTACGGTCTGTNCACAAATTGCACCCGATAAGGTCGACTTACAACCGTCCGCTTATGGATTAAGCTAGATCTCTTTTTAAGTGATGAGCAAAATTTGCACTTCTAAGAATTATTTAACTTAACAAGCAAGTATAATCGCGGGGTTTGCCTCCGCCAAGTTCGAAAGTTTATAGCAGACTCCAAATCTTAAACTGGACTCTCTGCCGAACCAGAGGTCCTAACTGAGTTGTATCCGCCTATTTTCCTCTCCTTCTAAGTTCCCTGATAGGCTGATTCAAATAAGAGGAGTTGGCTTAATTTTGGTTCCGGTCAATGATCGATTGTTTTAGAGGGAATTTCGCCCTAAAAGACCAAACGGCGAAATTGACAGCGATGCAACTTATGAGGGGTCGCTAATGATCTCCTGGCACTCCCACTTTTGACTTACGGCTAGTAGGGACTGTCACTTCTCGAATTCTCAAATTCTAAAGAAATTCAATGGGGTTCCTTGAAGTATCATTTCTGCCCTTTTCGAAAACAACACCAGATGCTTGGACGCAAGGACTAGCAGATGTCCTTGTCCGCGCAAGTTTGGTCTATCTGCTCATCGCCTACTCCTTGTTCTGACTGTGTGTCTTAAACCTTTGTTTCTTCGTAATTCGTATTGTCTATTCTATCAGCTACTGTGATAAAAAGAGGGGGAAGGGGAAGGATTTCAATGGTTCGGTTACAGTACAAACCGCGCACAGACCTTCCGTTTGCACAAATCCTCGATCAAAATTTGATGCACAGTACTTTTGGGTATTCCCAAAAGCTCCTAGATGAGTCTTGCAGAAACACGTCTGTCTGATGCAAGGATGTCGGTCACTTTTTTCACATTTCTTTCAGTGCAACTTGTTCTCGGCTTTGATGCACGTGGAGTGTCTTCAGTGTCCTCCCTGCCATCACGAAATAGAGAATACCATCGAAAAATGTTCGTGCGACTCAAACAATCACTATACGTACACACTTTTCATCATTTCATATGCTTCTCCGTCTGTTTTGCCTAGCTTCAAACAAAATCTGATGTTGGCTCTCTGTTCAACCGCCATTTTCCGACGAGTGTCAGAACAGTACTGTTACATTCAAGGTCAGAACACATGATGCAGCGATGCTTGCGCCTTGAAATTATAGAACCACAGCTGAAACTTCAAGAATCTTAACGCCACAACGCGCCAAGAGATGGCATTGCAGGGCAAATTGAAAAGAAAACGAGTCCTAACGGATCCTGGACACACCGTGCAGATCAGTCTCTCTAGAAATTTCATTCCTAAATTTTTAATGCATCTTTGTCAGGCAAAGCTCATATCTTAGCGTTATCAACACACAGTGTGCATGGTATGAGTGCTGTACTCTATTTTCTACTGCTGTCAGTAGAGTTGACAATTACTTTTCATATTATACTGACCTGTTTGAATTTGTATTTTTCTCTCCATGTCACGAAACACAGGTTTACTGCAATAAGCAACATTGATTATTCTGCTCTTTGAGATTCCAGGAGAAGAACTTAGTTATTTTTGCTCTGTGACGTTTTGCACGATTATGATTTATGTATGGGTAAAAGTAAAAAAAAAAAGTAAAGCTATCCCTGTAACAGGCCATGAAGGCCCATAGGGTTCTGAGACGTTGAGGGCCCCACATTATCTAGACAATCGGCTCAAAGATGGCGGCAAGGTTGTGAGCCTTACGCGTCGGCCGCACTTTACTCCCCAGGAAAATTATTTATTTAATTCCTGGTACTCATCTCTGTTAGAGGCTGAGTGAACCCCAGGGCCATAGTGCGGCCGGAAGGATTAGGTCAATTGAAAAAAATCCAATTACCTCATCGGTATTTGAACCCGCGATCTTCCGACTTGTAGCATAGTGCCTTAGTTGAAGGATAAATATTTTGGTATTTGTACTGGTCGGTATAGCGACTGGCTACGGGATAGATGATCAAGGTGTCGGAGTTTGAGTCCCGGTGGAGTCAAGAATTATCACTTCTTCATATCCTCCATTCCGAATCTGAGGTCCACCCAGCCTCCTATCCAACGTGTACCGGAGATTCTTTCCTCGGGGGTAAAGTGGCCGGAGAATGAAGTTGACCATTCACCTCCAACTAATGCCGAGGTCAAGAAAATGTGGATCTATACATCCACTTCCACATACGCCTTCAAGGCGTGGTGCTCAATTAGTTAAGCACAAGAACAATTTTACCTTACTGGTTCCAAGAGGAATTAGTTGACTGTGAAATTGTTGTGTTCTTATTATATGTATAAGTATCCTGTTATTTTAAATAAAATAGGATTTAATGAAAAAAAGGACTGAAATATGCCACTAAAGAGAAATTAAAGTTGAAGTCACCATGGTTATTATATTGTGGCACGTAGACGCGTTGCTAAGCCATGACCACGAAATAGGCAACTATAAAACAGCCGTTGTTAAGCAATGGCTCTAAGCACAATAGATCATTAAAAGTCGCGGTGCAAGTGGCCGGATTATTATGGCCCGTCCCTCATACATTCATTCAAGTAACGGCTCTGCAAAGAATGGATATTTAACGTAGAAACATTATTATTGGTCTTAATTGAGGATGACAAGTTATTCTTGAAATGTTCTCAGTCCCTTATAGAGAAAAAAACTCCGTGGCTTTAGTCCGCAAGCGGACTATACCGACCGAGCGACCGCCCCTTGTCGGCGAAGTTAGTGCCAACTTTAACGGATAGGGGGTGCCACATTGTCAGCACAACAAATCCCCACGGCCGTTAATCTCGGTTTCTAGACCGGTGCCGCTACTTTTCCATTCAAATAGCTCCTCAGTTATCCTCACGAGGCTGATTTGACCCCATTCTAGACCCACTACTTCTCATAAAATCTGGTAGAGCAGGAAATCGAACCCGGAACCTCTGGATCTGTAGCCAGGAACTCTGGCAACTAGACCACAGAGGCGGTCTCTCCGTTTTAGAGAAAGGTACAAAATAATTTGAATGTGAATTTGACCACTTCCTTTCTTCTGAATTCATAATTCACATCACGGAGACCACCAAGGCTTATTTCTTGTTTCCATAACAGAAAAAATGTATGGGAAGACCTGCTGTTGTTTCCACAAACTTTGTCATTCATCAAGTATATGTATAACATTACTCTCAGGCAAGGATCCCTTTGCATTTATGCCCACTGTAGTCTGGGGATATTAATTGGATGTAATTATAGTTTTATATTCATAAATATATCTATATTCCCGAGAAAAATGCAGAGAATAAGTTGGCTAAGCCGATCACGGTAGCCGAGCGGTCTAAGGCGTGCACTGTCTTCGCTCGCTCGGAAGCCGGGATCGTGGGTTCGAATCCCACTCAGGGCATGGATGTTTGTTTGCGTTTTGCTGTGTTTGTGTACAGGTAGAGGCCTTGTGACGAGCTGATCACCCGCCCAAGGAGTTTTACCGAATGTGTAAGATTTACAAAAACCGAAGTGAACGGAGTTCATGGGGGTAGGCCTAGGCCCACTGGGGCTGTAGTGCCAAGGAAAAAAAAATAAGTTGGCTAATACAGTTGCCGACAATGCTGGATGACTGACAGAAAGACAAAACATGATTGCAGTACAAAAGCGTGCAATCTGTGCAATTGCCAAGCAGTAGAGAAATACTGTACCTGAGAAATTGTGGCTGAATATATTAAAAGGAGTGGCCCGAGATGATCTCATTCTTGAAAGAGATTGCTCTGTGATGACGTAATAGTCTACCTCTGTGGCCTGTAAACCACTCGTCTCCCAGCTGTAACAGATTCACTGTAATTAACAATTTTAAGCCTTTCCTTAACAGCTGGGTTTCTTCGTGTGTAAATGAATGGATGACGATTACAATGGAAATAACATTAAGATATTAATTAATTTTAATTCCAAGCTTATACATTTTAATCGCCTAGCACGCAATATGTAAATTTACATACAGTGTAACAATTTCAGCAAGATAGATAACGCCTGAGACCCTTTGTGACATTTCATAACAAGCTTGTTTTTTACGGCGAGGAGCTGTTAGCCCCATGCCCAAACCCAGAATTGGAGGACCACCGTTATCACCTGTTCGCGACTGATTATTCAATATATTTGCACCTACCTTCCGCAACTGGAGGCCCTCCCCTCCATCCACAACCTGAGGACGTGTCATGCTGTGGTGACAAGAGACCCAACTGCAGAAAGAGGAACCAGAGGAGAGAGCTCTTGTGAATACGGTAATGAACCTTCGGGTTCCATAAAATACTGGAAAGTTCTTTAGTAGCTGCAAAACTGACGGTTTCTCAAGAAGGGCTCAGCTTCATGAAATTAGTTAGTTAGACAACACCTGATGATGGCCATGTATGGCTGCATCATGTAGTGAGGGAGAAGGGTGGTTGGATAAGAGGCTGTATTTGAGATGGAAATACACAGAGGGTTCGTAACATAATGGAAACATGAAATAGAGGTATAGAATTTGTTTGTGTTGGCTACGCTGAAAGAACTTCAGATGGCAACACTGAACATTCTCTTTCCGTTTGAATACATTCTGTAGTTCTGTAGTACTCGTGGAAGTTCATTCCTGATTGTGTAGAATCACAATCCATGTGAAAGAATCGGAAAATGGGAGACTTTTCCGATTTTGAGAGAGGACAGATCGTTGGAGTGCATTTAGCTGGAACACCTGTGACAAAAACTGCCACATTATTAGGTGCATTCAAGTGCAACAGTTTTTAAGATTATGCCGGCATACACGAATCATGGAAAGACAACATCAGCGAAGAGAAATGATGGACGAAAATCAGCACTGACAGAAGAGATCGTCGTACATTGAGACGGATTATTTCGAGAAACCACAGGACTACTGCAGCACAGGTGACAGCAGAACTGAATATTCATTTTAAAGACCCTGTTTCCACAAAATCCGCCCGACGTGAGCTTCACAAATCCAACATCCGCGGTAGGGCTGTAATTGCTAAATCTCTGATTACTGAAAGAAATGCTGAGATGCGTAAACGATGGTTTCAAGACCGCAAAGTCTGGACATCAGAGAACTGGAAGCGCGCGCATGATATGGTCAGATAAGACGTCCTTCACGCTGTTCCCCATATCAGAAAGAGTTTACGTTTGAGAGAACACCCAAGAAAGCCTGATTTCAACAGTGAAACTCGTAGTAGGTTCCGTGATGTTTTGGGCAGCAATATAATGGTACAGTATTCTGTTGGTCCCATGATTACTCTTCATGGCCGAATTACTGCAAGGTAGTACATGGACAAGTTGGGTAATCAGGTGCATCCCATGATACAGACGTTATTTCCGAACAGTTCCGAGCTGTTTTTTCAAGACGACAGTGTCCTCATTTACATAGCTGGAACTGTTCAGTCATTGTTTGCAGGGCATAAAGGCAAACTTCAACATCTTTCCTGGCCAACACAATCATCAGGTTTGATCATCATTGAACTGCTCTCCTCAGTTTTGGAGACTAGAATGAGAAACAGATTTCCACCTCCAGCATCTCTAAAGGAACTTGAATATGTTCATAAAAAATAATTGTATTGTGGTGAATAGACCCATTGTTAGACAATGACTCGGTAAACACACTCCCGCGGGAGCCAACATGAGCAGTAATAGGGCATATATTGTTGGGCAACGGATAAGTAAACACGCCTAAATCAATACAGGACACTAGAAGACGGTGTTTTCTATGGGGTCCATCCCAGGGCTATATAACGAGTAGTTGAAAATTTGGTTGAGTTCGCCCATGTGGAGGCGGGGTCAAATTCCTCCACCGTGACCCTGCGAGTCATAGGAGGCGACGAAAAGGGAAGTCTCAAATCTGAGACAGTAGTATATGGTCACAAGTACCAAGGGACTTGGACCTGAGAAAGACTGTGCCGGCAATGGCCAGTAGCATATACAAAAGACAGACCTGTCCTCTTGTCAGAGAGGGAGCTGCACAAAAACAAGACCGTAACTGTCAGAGTAATAAATATCTGGTCATGATCCCCAGATGGGGCTTGACACCAAGACTTACTGACTGACTGTCAGTCTCAGTGTCACTTTCATTTTCACTTTCACTTGGTTGAGCTCTGGAGAGGACAGTAGAAGGTAATTGAGAAGAAATGGTAAGAAATGAATTTGACCATGCAAAGAAGACTTCATATGTAATTTGAAGTGACAGTGCAGCTGTTATGAAATCCGTTGCCAGGATATGACTATTGAAGACTGAGAACCCTTGTGTGTGTGCAATGGTGAACTGTAAAGTATGTAGATCAGCAGTAACACTATTGGCTGTAGGTACAATAAAACCAGTCATCCAATCCAAAACTATCTTATAAGTCACAGGTAAACCTCTACACTTGACAGTATAAAATCCTGCTAGAGACTGATCTAAATTCATTCTAAGAAAGACTATGGCTCTATTGAAGGCAAAAGGTGGTGCAATGCCATATTAATACAGAAACGTGTATGGTATATGTAATGTTTCCATTATTTTGTTCTACCCCTGCTTGTGTACAAAAGGTATTATAACTACATTACTCGGAGTACAATCCTTGATTACTTTCCTCAGTTTTTTGCCTCAGGTTCCACCCATGAAGTATGTCTTTACAATATCTTCCACAGTATGCAACAAAAGATTATAATTTATTTGTTTCAGTTTGGGCCAGGCTACAGCAGCACCTGTGAGCTCAATTGTATTTCCTAATCACCAGCAAGAATTCACACAAAGATCCCATGGTGAGTGAACACAGGCAATATAGTGGTTGGAGTCATTACAAGAACAAATATTCTCAATATCCATTTTACAGCCACTTTGGTCTTCCAGTGACATAGTAAATATCTCCAATATAAAAATATCTGAAATTATTATAAGCGTTGTGTTGATATTTGGAACAATTGCTGTCCCACCATGGGTCAACTACTAATGCTCCAGAAATCTGTTCACCACTCACTCCTCACTTCACAGCAATGCTCTTCCTTTTGACTGCTCTGCACTGGACTGAACTGAGAATTCCTCACTGACTGTCACTCACTGATTAACACAATGAGTAAGTGCAGTGAACTTGAAACTGAAAAACATTAACTTCTACTTCACTCATCTATACCGCTTGATGTCAGTGCATGAAGAACTGAGAGTCAGCTGACTCACTATTGCTCTTTTAGCAGGTATGTCACTTGTAGAGGATATTCTAGAATGTCCAAGAAGAGTCTCTCAATAAACAAGTGAACAACTGCAACGCATGCACAAATTAAGTGCTCTGCCTAACACTCAGAATTAAACCACAACATTAGACACTGAAACAATTTATACAGGGGATTTAAGCAAGAAGTTTTCATGGGAATGACAACAGATACTGACAGAGGAACTGCATATTACAGCATTGGGGTGTCCTGAATGACATAATGCCGATGTTCATTTTCATGGAAAGTGAGTAAGTGGTTCAAAAGTTCAGTTTGAGGGGTATCAAGATAAGCATTGCCTGATTTCTGAGACCTACTCCTAAGAGAGGGAATTATCTTATTTAAAGAGAAAGAATATCCAATTTATATTTCATCTCTTAATGGATACTTGTTTGTAGAGTGGATATGATAATGTTGGCACCACAAATTGAATGTTCCAGTAAGCAGATGTTGGTATTCATTCATTTCCTTTATTTTCCATATATCCATACAGGCAAAAATCCTAGGATGTGGAAATAGTCCATTTGATTATAGATGTATACATGTAATAGATTACATAAGTCACACAACTAAAATAACACACACCAGTTAACTAACATAGGTAATATAAAAAAAACAAAAAACAAGAGCTTATTACAATTGTAACTAAACATAATTTAAGAAGTGCATTACTATAAAAACTTAAAATGA